TAATAATAATAATAATAATAATAATAATGACAGTGGTGATAATGACGATGATAATAATAATAATGTTAAGCTCACAGAAAGACATATTTCAATGCCTGATTTTTAATAGCCCTTGGTTAGAGTGAGGCCTTACAGCATAATACCTTCTTCTTGACAAACATTTTAGTATAGTGATGACACTGTGTTATTCAGTTCATTTCTTAAAAAAAAAAAATCCACAAAATTGAATGTCACCATGGGAACAATCTAAAGTTGATTTTGGAACGAGGCTCATTTCTGATAGCTTTTTTGTTGGCATAAAAATAATGTCATTGAACTGTATCAGAAGCAAGTGCTTTATGAAGTATCATCTCTAAAGATACCAGCCAGTCCTGAAAATATCCTCCCACTAATGGTTGCATTTCTTTAGTTTCTTAAGCAGAATACAGGGCCCAGAAAGGTTTCTTCCCTGTTTTCCTCAACAAGAAACACACCCCAAGCTACCACCAGTGTGATCTAATTCAATCATTCTTCAGCCTGTAATGTGTAGTAAGTATCAGTATGGAAAAAATTCCTTCTTAGAAGAACAATTAAAACTTAAAGCAGTCATCCTGGTTGGCTGGCTGAACAAACGACACATGTTCACACAAGAATAATTCAGTCAACCGTCTTAATAAGGATTTACTTTAAACAGAACCTTGTATGGGTACACTAGACTCAGTCTCATTAAGGAGTAAGTTGGATTTTTATACATTATGAACCATTGGCAATCTAAAACAGACCCACTGAAGAATGGAATGGAGAATCAAACGCAATGTTTCAGACCCAAGCTCTATGTGCCTTTAATACTTTCTTTTTCCTTCTCTTTTTTTTTTTTTTGAGAGAGTGCACACTACGACAGACATTTGCATTTATCATGTTTTTAACTTCTTTTCTAAGGATGAACTCTCTGAATCTGCATCTTCCAACTCCGCTCTGTGTCTTTTCAGTCCTCCGAGAGATTGAGTGCTCTCACTGCCCGCAGGGTGCAAGTCAGCAGTATCCTCTCTTGTGCTCACATTGTAGCTGTTGGAGTCCATTTCAGACAGGCAGCAGTCTTTGTGCAAGGTCACACCCATCTGTACAAGGTTGCCATTATCAGCATTTGAGTGCACCTGTAGTCCTTGCATCACAGTCTCCTGCTCTCCAAAACTCTGTCCATTGTTGAAGCATGAAGGGCGAAGATGCAAGTGGCCGTTATTGTGGTTAACGCAGGACGTGTCGAGGCTCCTCTCCTCACTGTCATCAGTCTGGTTTCTCGAGCAGTGACCCGACATGCTACACATGGCAATAGTAGAGAACGGAGGGACCAGTGAGTGATGGCTTGATGCTGGTTGACAGTTCTGATTATTTTTCTGTTCCACAAGTCCTGCAGTCTGACCGCAAGGATCTTCAGTACAACTACTTAGCCCTTTGCAGTTAGCTTTTCCGTTGAGCTTTTTAGTCTCAAAAGAATGCTCTATACCTCCGCTGCTAGTGTCTTCAGATGTGTTTTCTTGATCCTCCATCCGCCGTTGATTGTCACATTCATGAGCTTGACCATTACTAGAATTTTCTATCAAGCCACGTTCTTTTAAAGTTTCTTTGTTGTGGCTTTCAGTAGAAAGAGCTGGGGAACCTTGAGGAACTACCGAACTCAAGTTCCTAGCATCTTCCTTATTTAGCGAGTGTGCTGTACTGTGCCTTCCACTAGTTCCTGGTTTCCCTTCGTCATTCTCTCCATCTCCTCTGGAGGATTCGCCATCTTTACCAGCTGAATACGATATGTAGGAATAATGAAGCCATTTGTAAGCTTTGTAAATCTTTCTCTCCACTGATTCACTGTCTGAACAAGGAGACGTCCTTTCCTTGACAACTTCTTTGTTGGCTGAACTCCTTTCTGGCGAAGAAGCTGGGGAAGAAGAAAGATCATCTACTTTGATCTGGGGGTAATCATAGATGTCCTCACCTATGTAGGGGGTCACGGTCTCAGTGTTAGTGCTAGTCCTTTCCTCCTTTTGCACCTTCTGTTGGCGCCTCAGTGCATTACGTTGCCTCATAGATGTGCGTCGTTCATTCAGTTCCTCTTCATCTTCTGTACTGCTGCTGCTGCTGGAACTGCTGGATTCGTTCTCCTCAGGACTCGGGGACCGTGGCCGTGGGAAAAGGTCTGTATCTAGTTCTGCCTCACAGGTATTGTCATCAGAGTCAGACTCATTGGAAAGGGCCAGGAGACGTTTATCCTGATACTTTCTCAGTGCAGAGAGCCTCTGCTGACGGGAAGCCACGTCTTCTCTGGCAGAGGGGGATTCAGCTGATCTTAAGGCCCTTAAGTTATATGCTGTTTCATCAGACTCTTCAGCCGCATGTGGTGGGGAGTGATGCAAAGAGGCGGAGGACTCCGACTCACTGTAAGCAGAGCGTTCACTTACTCCTGCATGGAGCTGCAGGATTGTGCTCTCACTGAGGTCACTGTCTGAGTCAGAACTCCAGCCCTCGATCTCCCGGCGCACCAGGGAGTCAAAAAAGGCCATCATCCGTGGATCTTCCTGGACTGACTGGTTGGCATAATCATGGGACAAACCACTACCACTGTTCAACACAAGACTGATGTACTCTTCGTGAGTGTAGAGGCAACGCGAATCATCCTCAATTCTACCATCCAGATCCCCTGTGCAGTCAGGCTGCTTGTAAGGACTCCAGATCTGTAACAGAAAATTAAAAAAAAAAGTCTTTGAATTTATAAACTATTATAAGCATTTGAAATAGAACAGTAGCGCAAATACCCAGAACAATTGCAAGTTGCAGATAGTTTTTATTAATTTTTACCCCTCAGACCCATACTTACAAGTATTCCAGAGATTCCAGGGGTTTTTTTCTCCCCCTTTACAAATGTGGTTTTCCTGCATCTACTTCACCCATCCAGAACTTAAAAGCTCTCACGCTGCAGATTATCCATCATTTCAGTATTTCATTGTGTAATAATTTCTCCCAAATTGCAGGGCTTTATTTTTATGTAATAGGGGATGCTTACTCACTAATGGTAAGAATAGTTTGTTGCCTACAATACAGTCTTGGCACTAATAAAGGCACTTGTTTCCCAGGAAACTAGAGTTGCTTGTGCCAGTGATGTACAGTAACATTTCATCCAGCTGCATAGTCAGTCACACCTTGTCAGCAGGCAGGGAGCTGAATGTATGGAGGTGAAAAGCAGAGCTGCACTTACTCCCTTTAGGGAACAGTCATGAAGGAAAGAAAGCACCCAACATCCTCTCAAGATACAGCGGCAGTTTTAGTTAGTGGGGAAAGGTGAAGGAGAAGAATTTTACCAAAAGCTACTTTTGAAATGGAGAGAGGTGGTAACATTGCAAAGCATAATGATTTCACCAATAGGAACAGCCTTGACTGTGTTGTCCCTCTAGCCTTCCCTCAGTTTTCCCAGTGTGGAAGGGAAAAGAGAAAAAAAAAAACCAAAAGCCCCAAAGAAGATCTACCAATACCTCTAAGAAACTGGTAATCCATAGCGAACATAATAGTCGGATCTCTTCACCTTTCTCAGTTTTACTCACAGATTCGGGGGCAATATGATTAAGGCACTCATTGGACAACCACTATCAATTTATTCTAGATCGATGGTTAATGTGATGCACAACACTTACTGTAAGCAGAGCTAGTATGTAGCTTATTCACAATACTGCCTTAACATTCTGCTTATAAAATAACTGATTTCAGTCATGCTTTGGTTTTACCACTCTAACAAGCCCAGGGAAAAAAATTCTACGCCAGCTGTCTATACCAGGTTGGCCTTTTGGGATAAACTTTTGCAAAAACATCTAACTCCTTTCCCAACAGAAATTAGTCTAGTTTTGTTCCAAGTAGACAAAACTGCTAACAAAAAGATTTTTTTGCCTGTGAAAATGGGATAAGCAGCACTTATCTCACACGTGTAGTTAACACAAGCAACATAATCTGATACTACCATGACAAGCACTATAAAAAAAGCACACGAGAATGCCAGTAGTTCTGTGTTCACAGAGATTTTCAACAGTGTACAGTAAGACCTTACACCTTTAATATTGGAAGTAAATCGAAATAAATTATCTTGCAGCTACTTGTTCAGCACAGCCAAATTTCAGATGTACAGGTAACCTTTATTCTGGAATTCTCCCAAATAAAATTAAAGTAAATTGCCTTTACTTTCCATCCTCTGTAATTTATGGTTAACAGAGCTTCCTCACATGATCTGGCCATGTCAATAAAAAAGACGTTATACCAAAATTAAAGTGGGCTGCAGATATACCTTTTTGTGTATGGCAATCATGAAGCTGCCTTTCAGAGCAAAGGCAAAGGAATTTTACACTGCATTACATTAGCCTGTTCCTAGCAACAGGCCTCAATATCAAGGTGTGTTTGCTATTTGTACTTAATTGCTTGTTTTATTATTTGTAGTACTTAAGAAAATTCTCTTCTAGCACAGTTCATTAATACAATACTTGAAACCAGACTGAAGACAGTCTCCATTGCTTCATTCAAGCATGGCACTTACTAGACACATAGCTTGAGGAACGAGCATCAGGTTTGGATAAAGATAACAAAACCCAACCTAAGCCCACTTTGTATAAGCTTCCACTGACCATACTTAACCAAGAGAACAATCCTCTAATTATTTCCCATGCTCCACTTCCTAAAGACAACCTAGGAAAGAGTATTCTCTCAGCGGATGCGTGAGACATTGTTGATTTGGGGATACGCCAAGTTTTTGAAGAGAAGAATAGAACTCTACTTGCTTGAAGGACTGTTCTGAGTTGCTGCCTTCTTGGTGATTTAACTAGCACATGTTCAGTACCTTCTCTCACAGTTCATCAGATCTTTTCCCCTCCTTATCCCACTACTGAGCATTTCAGCAAGTAGATCAGATAATTTTGTATTTAAGAAGCATATACATTCTTGTAAGTGCTTCATACTATATGCCAGGTCAAGCAGGCTGGCATGCCCCTTCCTCAAATAGTCTTAGCCGTTTTAGATTGACTACAGGGTTTTGTAAAACTTTTTTTTTAAGCAAAAGAATTAGAAAAGTCTTAGATTCTGTATGAACAAATATAAATGGAGGAAAGGTAGTCTGCTCTGAAGTCTCTCTGGGAAAGGTCTGTTTTATAATGAAAAGTCATCTAAAAAGGTACGTAAAGCGTGCACATAGAGATTCCACATCCTTGATAGCGTTACCAGTTCTTTCTGCTCACTCTGCAAATATCAGAGAAAATACAGCAGTGTTAACTATTGAAAAGATAGCTACAGAGAGTCCATAGTGAGGCTTTTCCCTTCCAAGACAGATTTGTTCCCAAAGGAACAAATCATGAAGAGAAGTCAAGGGAATTCAGGATGAATACCTGTTTGCACACGATCAGATGTCCCTGGAGATCGATATTCCTAATTTTTAGACATTTTGCTATAAAGGAGTATGAGGGCCTGACAGAGTCAAGGAAAGAAAGCAGACTAAGAATCTATCCTTGGCAGAACTGGGAAATCTTTAAACTGGCAGCAACTGGTCCAGTGCTCTCTGAGGCATCTGGAACGGGCTTCTTTGTAAATGGCATGCCTTTGCCTTTTTCTCATGCTCTGACTGATGCCATGTCGAGGAAGAATGTGAGCAAATTGGAGAAAGTTGGCAAATCATCTCACTGAAGCAACAATCTATCAAGAAGTTCTTTCTCTGTCAGAGGATTAAGGAGCTGAACATTACTCACTGATGCCCCGAGTATGGATATAAAAACAGGAAGAGTAACAGAAAAGGGGAGTACAAAACTGGTTCTCTGCTTCAGCAGAGATGCTTCAGAGAGCATCTTTGAATTGCTTGTGTTCCATGGTGGCAAACCCCCAAATTTTAAAACAAAAAAGTAGCTATGCCCATAGCGTGAGAATAATTAAAACCAGCTATATTGGATTATCTGATTAGGCAGAGGCAGCTAGCCACAATGACATTAATCTGTCACCATAGCAACATGGGCAAATAGACTTTGCTATCTTTGATATACTGATGATTTTTAAACAAATGGAACCTACAACAGTTGTGCTCAGTTACACAGTACTCCATTTCCAGTACAAAACAGTATTTCTTTCTGAAAATCCTTACGTACGTTATCTATTTCATTTTTTCTGGAACTGTCTTCTAACTGCATAATTCTCCATGGCCCTCCTCTAAGCCCTACACATCAGAGGGAATGTCTCATTTATTTCCCCGGCAATGCAATTTGTTTTCCTGCCAGCACATCCCAGTGTCTCACACAATTAACGGAGGGAAAAAGTGGTATTTTTCTATTTTATATTGTTTTAGCCCTCCTGGTGAATGCTTGCTGCAAATGACAATTTTAGTCCACAGCTGTGCTTTTCCATACAATTTTACTGAGGTCCAGGTTTCTGAAATGGAGGGCAATGAGCAATTCATCTGGGTTCATGTGTCCAGCACACACTGTCTGAAGTCAAGGCTTCTAGTACCCTTTTTTAATGAGCTTGTTGACTCTCATTTTAGGTCTCTGAAACCTCCTCACTTGCATATTCACACCACCCCCATCTTATCGATTGTATTCTCAGTCCTAGCAGAAATCAAACCCTAAATCACTGAGTTACTGAATTGTCTTGCGGGTACTTTACAACAAAATAAAATTAAGCAAAAAAAACATAACCACAAAGGTAAAAATCATTCTTGTGAATACTACTCATCTCAGCAGGGCTAGGCCTGAGATGAATTTGTATCTCTCTCAATTGTAATCAGCACTAAAATAGCAAGTGTGTTGGCAGAAACACATAAAATTGTTGAAAGGCTTGTCTGTATCGTGCCTTGATGCCGGTGCTATCAGTTCTTCCCTTCTAGCAGCACTAAATTAAGGCCACTTAAGTCTAAAAATTAAGGGCTCCAACAAACAACTACTTGCATCCACATTTTTAATTCACCACAGAGTTTCTACAATTGAGGGAATGGAATACCAGCTAACCACAGTAAAGTTATCTTCTGTGATTTCATTCCAGAAAGATGTTTAAAAGACACTTGAAGGACAGTAAAAGGAAGGACACTTCTTTAGGAGCTGATTAAAACAAAAAAACACACATCAAGAAAACAAGAAAACATAAAATTAAAAAAACCCCTAATTATAATTTTTATTTATGGCTCTTCCTCTTGTCATCTCAACATCCCTGAGCAAACGCATCAAGCGTTTATTTGGGGGAAAGAAAGATGGCCATGCAAGGGAAGAACTTGTGTTCCCAGCTGGTTTTAATGCAGTAAATAGCACCTTAGACCTGCTGGTGGTGTTTCTCCTGTTTTGCCCTTCTGCTAGTGGCAGTTACTAGCCTCCCACCTATCTGTAGAAGTAGCTGGAATGAAGAAGAAGCCACCATTGCATGGTCACCTGCAAACCACTGTTCACTGAGACAGAACCTTTAAAGAGTGAAGTCATGCAGATCAGACAAGATACAAACCTTAAAACAACCTGATCCCCAAACAAGGCACATTACAAACTGAGACAAAATGACATGCAATAAAAGGGTAAGAAGTTTTGGCTCGCTAATAAACTTAATACATTAAACACCTTTCCCTTAATTTGTTTCTAGCTTGCAATGTTTGGAGAATTCTGTTCCTTAAAAGCAGCTACACGAGTTCCATTGCACATACTGCGACACAACAGGCGTTCTCTTCTAAGGAAGCATTCAAGCAGAGGTGTCTTTGAAAGAGTTGCACAACCTGGAACTGGAGCCTTAATCGAACTAACCTTTTAATTACTAGGCAAGACCTCCCTCCCCTCCCCCCCAAAACCCTAGCAGAAGTACACAAAAGCAACACAGGGGATGTTTATACCAATGCTAATCCAACAGTCTAAGCACACTCATGCAGGAAGTATTCACAGGGTGAAGGGTCAGCAGATCTAAAATCCAAAAGGGAGAATTCAGGCTGTGTGAATCAAGTTTCCAAAGCGAAAAAAAAAAAAAAAAAAGCCTCTGGCAAAACTGTTGTTAAACAGCGGCAGTTTGACTGCTTGGAAATTGAAAAATCAGTGAGCTGCTAAGATTGTTCAATGCATTTTTGTTCAAAGCTTGTATTTGATAGATTTGTGATCAAACCTGTCAGAGGGACACAGATGAAGAAAAAAGTACAAAGCAAACTAAAGTACCAGTGGAAGACAGAAGATAAGGAAAGCTGAACTACAATCAGAACCCAAATGCTGACAGTAGCTGTAATGCAAGTGATGCAGCTGGGCACTGGGCCATGGTCCCAGGGTTTTGGGCCAGTTCTGGTCCATACAGACCACAAAAACATTCCTTCGCAGGACAAGTTCATTCAATCAACTTATAGCTGACTAAAGCATTTACTAACACTCAACCAACCTCATTTATAGCCACATGCAGGTAAGACTTTTATGAAGTCATTCAACAAACACTTAGAAGAAGCATCAGTTCTCATTATCCTACTTAAAAATTAAATGGTTCTGGTTTCTTCCATCTTGTTGATAGACATAAATTTTAGCAAAATTTCTAACCCAGCAGAATGCAAAGTACATTAGTGCAGCATAATCCTCTGCTTCCCTGCCCTCAACCTCTGCTGTTAGAAGTCACAAAAAAGTTTCTGCCTTGCTCCCACAATATTTGCTGTCTTTCCTTAAGGAAAGAAAGTTTCAGAAGATAACAAAGTTTGTTATCTCTTTACATTCCACATAAAAAGGCAGAAACTTTCTAAAAATACCGTACATTGTTAGAGGACTCAGAAAAGACATATTGTGGAAGGTATTAAGAGTCCTGTTTCCTCTGGAAGCCACAGAAAGGTATGTTGAATTGATTCAATGCAGAAGTGTGTACAAAAATTATAGAAGGGCTCCTGAGACAGGATTTGGGCCAAAATCAGCTAGGTCAGGCTAGTCTAAGGCTCAGTGATACTCTTTTATGAGATTTTTATCAAATTTTAGCCCAAAGTTTTCTAAGTCTTAGGAGATCACGTTACAGCTGTGACCAGACTCTCCTGAGAAGTACTGTTTGCATGATACTTCAGTTATGTATGGAATGAAACTAAAAAAAATTTCCTTTTTCAAGGTACAAATCCAGGAAATTCTGATCTTATCCATTATCACTAAAGCCTTTAAAATTGAAATGGAGTTTAAAGTTGAAATGCCCAACTAAAAATCTGCATGGGTTTAGCCAGCAAATGAGACATACCACTTTACAAAAGAATAAGGATGAGAAGACAGGATGGTTGTGGAAAGGAACGATGCTGAGCGAAACAAAACATTTCTTCCTTAAATACCAAAAGAGTACGTTTTCTCGTAATTAATCTTACCTTTATAATCTTTTCAACGCCAGAAGAGCAGATCATGTAAGTGTGAGGATTAAACCGGACTTGGTTTACAATTGACCGATGACCTTTCAATACCATAAAAGCACCATTGACAACCCTGCCAATGCCACCTAGGGGAAAAACAAGCACACACTAAAATGAATAATTAAATCTTCATGTTGCTTTCATTCATAATAATTTGAAAGTCATATTATATTTGACAATGCGTTTCAGCTTTATTTTGCAATATCTGAAGGCCTGTGCTGGCTGCAGAATTCCAATTTTATGAGCAATGCTCCTATGAAAAGCTGCGAGTTTGATGAAAAGCATCCTTCCTGCAAATTAGGACTTGGAGGCTAGCTTTAGTTCAACTATCTAAACAATGAAGGTTTTTGACCTAATATGACAAGTATGTGAATAAGAACAACATACACACTTAATGAAATCACCAGTGAAACCATAGTGCCTAAGGCATAACACTACTCACAGTTTGTAAATTTGAAGCAGAGACAAATAAAGAGGTTGACTTTTTTTAATAGCTATTTGCTACTAGCTAAAAAAGTGTATTTTTTATATCAGCAATTCATTACAGTCACAGTTGACTCTAGTCTGATGGGTAGGAATCTAAAGGAGGCAATCTTCAAGGCCGTTAACCTGAGTTACTGCATTACAGCTGGACCTAGCATAGCCTTCCCTAGACTGGGATCTGTAACAACTTGTATTTCTGTGAATCAAGCTTAGAGAGGGACCTGAAATAACACATCTGATCAGTGTGTTATATCATTCTTTGTCACAAGGCAGGGAATTAGCTGAAGTGGAATGCTTTTGTAAATGCTAATGGTAAAACTCAAAACAGAAGCCAGACAACTTTTCTGCTTGGTCATTGACTCTTACAAGGTCTATACACAAAAGCAAGAAACAGTAATTTTTTATATTCATAGATTTACACAATGAAAACCATAGATTAGTTAGAAAGTACATCTGTGTATCTGAATAAACAAGTGTCAATCAACATGCTATGATTAACATCTTCAGTGAAAGAAACCAAAACTTTTAAAAGAGGGTAAGTAAAAATTGAAAACCACTTCAGAGGAAAACAATCTTCCTATTTACAACTTTAAAGGTCGTAAGCACATCTTACAGGAAGTTAAAATAATTTCATTAGCTTCTGTGCTACTTATAGTTGTCCTAACACTAAACAAGTAAACTTTATGTTCTTCTTGATGAAGATGTTTGCTATCCTTCTTTGTCCTCAACAGGAGCTCTTTCAGCTGCTGGTTTAAGCCCTAAGTCCAAAGTTGAACAATTTGTCTTCTAAAACAGAGTCAGAGTTCTCCTGCAATGCACATTTCCTAAAGGAAAACTTGCATTAACACTGAAGAGTAGGAAGATAGAAGGGTCAAGAAAAAAGAAAAAAGGCGTTCCTATATCACCTTCCATTTGTTAGGTTACATAAATGATAAAGAACTGCAGCTAGTGAGCTTGTGTTCAGTCCCCCTCCTCTTAGAAAAAGTACTCTATCCCTTCCACTCATTATAACTCCACTCAGAAGACTAGACTGATGTGTACATGGTGTACAAACCATGGTAAGGATTTAGAAATGAGGAGTCATCCAACTCCTAAAAATCCACAGACAGATCTTCTAACTGCTTCTGGAAAGTGTGCCATTTGCACAGATAAATTTTTGCAGACCAAACTGCAGTTTCATGGCACTTTGGGATAGAACGATAATGTGCCTGAAAGAAGGGAAAAGAGATGCTGAATAACTCCAAGGACCAAAATGCATGGCCATTTTAAAGACTTTGTATATAGAATGAAGGCTCATTTAAAAGTATGAAAACTTGAAAGGGAGACTATCACTCTAGTTAACTTCTAAATATGTTCATTGAAACTGCATTCAGACTGAGCTACTGGAACAGTTCTCTTATTTTGGTACACTTGTATTTTCTGTGAAGGTTCAGAGATAAGTTCTGCCTTCTGCCACTGGAGCAAGATTTCAGCAGTGTAAGCAAAGTTGACTGAGAAATAACTGATTGGAGACTAAGTTCATTAAATGCCAAATTGGGGTCTCTTGATATTCTTTTCCATTTTATGAGATTCCTCACGTCCTTTCATTCTGCTCATCCTGCTAGACATTCATGACCACATTTAAGGCTGATGGCAAGTTGCCCTACTCCCACAGCATTCCTTCCAGCCAAATCACAGTTGTCAATCCAATTGCATCTATCAAGCCAATGGTAGATGGTTACATCAAGTCCAGTTCTCAATGCATTTATCTTGACCTAGCAGACAAATGCTCCAGGAAGAGGGCCTTGGGAATGAAGAGACAATTTGCTTAGGAGATGTTTCCAAGTCTGTAAGTAATGCCTAAAACAAGTTTCAACTATCCATGGACTCTAGCTGCCTGAATTCAGTACAAAAGAAGAAATACGCCCTACAAAACACTTACATAAGAGTCAGAAGTTAGAGACACAATAAGCAAAGAGATGAAATACAAATTTAGGGCACCAATATCTTGGGCTGCATTTCCAAGTCAGTCACTGGCCTTTTGTGGTACTGTCAGCAGCGTGAATTAACCCATGTTATTTTCCTAGTAAAACAGTGAAAACAGTTATTTAATGCCAGAACTGTCTTCTGGCATTAAACATTTATCGATACACTAAGAGCACTGGATGAAAAGTGCACAGCATGCAATGTCTAGAACACAGCTCTCCCTAGGCTGTAGTCAAATTCAGGCAGTGTCTGAAGCCCAGAAAGCCAGCTGTATCCCAGGCTGCATCAAAAGAAGCGTGTCCAGCAGGTCGAGGGAGGTGATTCTCCACCCTCTACTCTTCTCTCATGAGACCCCACCTGGAGTACTGTGTCCAGCTCTGGGTTCCCCAGCACAAGACAGACATGGACGTGCTAGAGTGGGTCCAGAGGAGGGCCACAAAAATGATCAGAAGGATAGAACACCTCTCCTGGGAGGACAGGCTGAGAGAGTTAGGGCTGTTCATACTGGAGAAAAGGCAGCTCCATGGAGACCCTTTCAATAAAAGGGGCTTATAAGAAAGACAGAGAGAGACTTTTTACCAAGGCCTGTAGTGACAGGAGAAGGGGCAACAGTTTTAAGCTGAAAGACCATAGACTTCCACTGGCTATAAGGAAGAAATTTTTTACAATGAGGATGGCGAGACATTGGAACAGGTTGCCCAGTTCTAGAACATACTTCACTCCTCTTAAGGGTGAAGGTGAACTTCCCTACAAAGGCCCTTAAAACAACTAACTGCCCAATTACAGGAAAAGTCCCCTAGGAGCAGATTACTACAATCACAAGTCCTAGCAGTTAGCTTTTTTCCAGTAGTACAAGAGGTTTTAATCATTTAAACCAAAAAGAATGGACTCTAGCAATACTCTGATAATCTTTGTGTCAAATATAATAGTCTACCCCAGAACCTCATTTTTGGACAACCCCCTGCCTCATGCAATTTTAGTCTACCAACTTCTATGTGCTTAAGCAATGTCTCTAAGTAAGTGCTTAATGCAGAGCCTTCTACATCCTTATCCTCACAGCAGTCCCTTCACTTTATAGTAGCCCAGCAAAGTTGGTATCATATTACATGAGTATCTGCGTGGCAGATATATGTCTGTGTCCAGACTTGTCTGGAATCCCCCTGGTCTCCCAGCAGAGGTTTAGCTGCAGCCATACAGCTTCTAGCCATCTCACAGTGTGAGTTAAGTTTGCTCATGTCTGCTGGGGGCGGGGGGGCAAAGTGCATCTGTACATTAAGTGTAGGTTGGCCATAAGATGCTCAAATCCCTGAGGCCATCTTCCTTTTCTGCATGTAACAATTTCTATTTCTTTTTGCTGTCTTCACTTGAACTAGTATTTTTATTTGTATTGTTTCAGCAGAACTGACCTCTGCTATCCCAACAACACTCAAATTTTGCTTTTGAGGTTTGGGGTTTTTTTTAGGGGATAGACGTGTTGTTTCATTTGCTTTTGAATTTAGTGGCATGCACAGGTCCTGGAACTGGTTTAGCATGGCTGCTTTTACATTCTTAGATAGTTACCACGTGCATAAGCCATTAGCTTACATATGTGTTATTAATAATACACAAAAAAGTCTAAAATTGGCATAATCAGCCTCTGAAGACTTTAAGGTTTCTAACTTTCTAACCTCTAACCACTGGAGGGAAGGGATGGAGATATACTAGCTGGTTTTGCAATACTTTCCAAAAATGGCTATGCTTAAAATCAGATCTGAGTAGTGGTTTAGTGTTCTAGCTGTGCTGCTTGATGTTGTTTTGGTCTGCTTTTACACAAAGTGAAATGTTGAAAAAATCCCTCTTCCTCTCCACCCTGCAAATGAGTGTTCCAAAGAGGAGCAATACAAAGTCTCCAAAAATTCTTTAAATATCCTACTATGATATCTGATCAGCTGGAAGAAATAACTTACAAAAGGCTGAATCTGAAGTGTACATTTTAAAACAGATTTCCCGTACACACGTTTGACAAGAATACCATGGCAACACAAGGCATATCTACAGGCTCCGATACAGACAGGAGGAAGGAATACTACAATGCTCTGAAGCAGTAGTCATCTACTAAGTTGCCAAAGTGATTACTTCTTGGTTTGCTTTATAATTTTATGTTTCAAATATTATGATAATGAAATCCTTGTTAATTATGTGGTTTTAGAAATATTTATGCAAATGTGGAGACGTTTCACATATTGAGAACATGCTGGATGGTACATACCAACATGTTTTAAAAAATGCTAGTAAACCATAATGAAGGGGAGCAAGATACTTGGATAGCAGTCTGACTTCCCATGCACAAGTTCCACCACACGTAGCAGTGTTTAAAAAAAACACACAGAAGAATGAATTATTCGAAGGATAAGGGAAAAAAGGAAGTGATAGATTATTAGGAAAAGTGACCTTGCACAGAAATCCTGTAAGAATGTAGAACAGTCTCTAAACTAATGGAAGCTGCGTTGTTCCAAACATTTAAAAAAACCTGTCAAAGCGCCAAAGAACTCGCTGGGATAAGGAACAATCTTCCATTGGCTCTGTAATGGAGGAATCAAGTGACCTCATTAAGAAGAAGTCCTTTCTATCTTGGACACTGAAAAAGAAGTCCCACTGA